GGAGAAATAGAGACCTTCTCAGACAAGCAAAGACTGAGGCAATTCATCAAGACAAGGCCTGTCCTCCAGGAAGTACTCAAAGCATGGATCACGACAATAAACACAAATGTAAAATCATCCAAAAGGTAAAGGTCAAAGCCCAGATACCACAATGGTTCAAGAGAGAAAACAAAGCAGCAAAGTTCAACTGAACAGAGTGAACAGAAATCTGCCCCACTTATCAATTCTCTCAATAAATGTGAATGACTTGAACTTCACACTAAAGAGATATAAGCGGGGCAAATGGATAAATACGCACAAGCCAAGTATATGCTGTTTTCAGGAAACACATCTAACCCGTGAGTATGCATTGAAACTCAAGGTAAAGGGTTGGAAAATAATATTTTAAGCAAACGTAAGCCAAAAGAAAACTGGCATGGTGGTGATTCTGATTTCAGATAACATAGTCTTCAAATCAACAAAATTGATGAAAGACAAAGAGGGTGAGGGTACAATTCAACAAGAAGACATAACAATTCTAAATATTTATGCACCCGAGTCAGGTGTACCCAGATTCATAAAGGAAATCCTACTTGATGTAACCAAAATGATAACAGCAACACCATAATAACCGAGACTTTAACACTCCTCTGACAGAACAGGACAGATCCTCCAAACAGAAAATCAACAAAGAAACAGAGGACTTACACAGAACTCTAAAACAAATGAGGCTGACATTTATAGAACATTCTACCCCAGAATCACTGATTTTATGTTTTTCTCATCAGCTGATGGCACATTCTCTAAGATTGACCATATCTTAGTACACAAAGTATGTCTCAAAAAATTTAAAACAATAGAAAATATACAATGCATCTTCTCAGACCACAGTGGAATAAATTAGAAATCAACTCCAACAGAAACTCTTGTGTCTACACAAAGTCGTGAAAAGTAAACAACCTTCTGCTGAATGATTATTGTGTTAAGGAGGAAATCAAGATGGAAATCAAAAGATTCTTTGAACTAAATGATAAAGAAGACAAAAGTTCTCAAAATCTGTGGGACAAAACTAGCACAGTCCTGAGAGGAAAATTTATATCCATAAATGCCAACATCTAAAGATAGAAAGATGACAAACAATCTAATAAATAGTCTGAAAGAACTGGAAAAAGATGATGAAACCATCAACATAAGAAAAGAAATAAACCAAGATCAGAGTGGAACTAAATGATATTGGTATGAAAAAATTATACAGAAGATAAATAAAACAAAAGGTTGGTTCCTCGAAAAAGAATATGGAAAAATCAACATGCCTCTGGATAGATTAATGTGAAGCAGAAAAGAAAGAACTCTAATAAGCTCTATCAGGAATGAAAAGGAGGAAATTACAACTGATGCCACGGAAATACAAAATATCACCTATGAATACTGTAATAACCTCTCTGCACGTGCACTGGAATGTGAAGGAAATGGAAAAATTTGTGGAAACACACAGTCTCCCTAGGCTCCAGCAGGAAGAAATGGAATTCCTGAACAGACCAATATCAAGTACCCATATTGAAACAGCAAGAAAAATGCTTGCTAAAAAATCCTGGAATAGACAGTTTCACAACTGAATTTTACCATACCTACAAAGAAGAAATGTTGCCTATCCTGCAGAAATTATTCCACAACATCAAAAAGGAAGGAATCCTACCTGAAAAATTTTATGAAGCCAACATCACCCTGATACCAAAACCAGGAAAGGATGCAACAAAAAGGGAAAACTACAGACCAATATACCTTACATGCAAAAATCTTCAGTAACATTCTGGCAATGTGAATTCAGGTGCTTATCAAAAAAATAATCTATGATGACGAAGTAGGCTTCATTCTAGAGATACAGGGATACTTCAACATATGCAAATCTATACATGTAATTCACCAGATAAATTGAAGCAAAAACAAAGACCATGTGATCCTCTAAATATATGCAGAAAAAGCATTCAACAAAATTCAAACTTTTTAATGATCAGAACGCTTAACAAAATAGGCATAGATGAGACTTGCATAAAAATGATGCAAGTCATATATGACAAACCCACAGCCAATGAAGCATTGCCTCTTAGAACTGGAACCAGACAAGCTTGCACTTTATCACTGCTTCTATACAACATAGTGCTGGAAGTCCTAGCCAGGGCATTCAGACATGAGAAAGAAATCAAGGGCATCCAAATGGGAGCAGAAGAGGTCAAACTGTCACTCTTTCCTGACTACACGATCTTATATATATAAAACCCCAAAGATTTGCCATGAGACTACTGGAATTGATAAACAAATTTAGAAAAGTCACAGGTTACAAAGTCAATGTGCAGAAATCAGTGGCATTCTATATGCCAAATAACTGTCAAACTGAGAACCAAATCAAAGACTCAGTACCCTCCACAATAGCAACAATAAAATAAAATACGTAGGAGTATATTTAAGTAAGAAGGTAAAAGACCTGTATAGGGAGAACTATAAAACACTGAGGAATGAAATAGCATAAGACATAAACAGGTGGAAAACCATACCATGCTCATGGGTCGGCAGAATCAACATTGTTAAAATGTCTATACTATTCAGAGTGATCTACAGATTCAATGCAATCCCTACTAAAATACCAACATCATTGTTTACAAATATAGAAAAAATAATTCTATTTTTCATATAGAACCGGAATAGACCCCATATAGCAAAATCAATATTAAGCAAAAAGAACAAATTGGGTGGCATCAATTTACCAGACTATAAGGCTATAGTAACTAAAATACCATGGTATTGGCACAGAAACAGAGACATAGACCAATGCACCAGAACTGAGAACCCAGATATAAAACTGTCCTCATATAGCCAACTCATCTTCAACAAAGCAGACAAAAACATACACTGGGAAAAGGAATCCTTATTCAATAAAGGGTGCTTGGAAAACTGGATAGCCTCATGTAGAAGACTGAAACAGGATCCATATCTTTCACCTCTCACAAAAATCAACTGACAGTGGATAACAGACTTAATCCTACGGCATGGAACTATAATAATTCTAGAAGAAAATGTTGGAAAAACTCTTATAGACATTGTACCTAGGCAAAGAATTTATGAAGAAGACCTCAAGGGCAATCACAGCAACAACAAAAATAAATAAATCAGATCTCATCAAATTTAAAAACTTCTGCACAGCCAAGGAAACTATCACTAGAGCAAACAGGCAACATACAGAATGGGAGAAAATATTCATATGCTACACATCCGATAAAGGGCTGATAACTAAAATCTATATAGAACTCAGTAAAATCAGCAACAAAAAAATCAAACAATGCTGTCAAAAAAATGAGCAGAGGACATGAACAGAAACTTTAAAAAAGAAGATGGATTAATGGCTAACAAACATGAAAAAATGCTAAGCATCTCTAATCATCATGGAAATGGAAATCAAAACCACAGTGAAAAATCACTTATCCCTAGTGAGAATGGCCTTTATATCAAAATGTCCCAAAACTAATGTTGGAATGGAGGCAGAGAGATAGGAACACTCGTACACTGCTGGTGAGACTGCAAACTAGTACAACTTATGTGGAAAGCATTATGGAGATTCCTCAAGGAAATACAAGTAGAACTACTATCATTTGATCCAGCAATCAATCCCATTACTGAACATCTACCCAAAAGAACACAAGACATTGTATAAAAAACACATCTGCATTAGAATGTTTATAGCAGCACAATTCACTATTGCAAAGATGTTAAAACAACCCAAGTGCCCATCAATACATGAATGGATTAATAAAATGTGGTATGTATACCACGGAGTTCTATTCAGCCATGACAAACAATGGTGATGTACCACTTCTTGTATTATCCTTGATAGAGCTGGAACCCATTCTACTAAGTGAATTATCCCTAGAATGGGAAAACAAGCACCACATATACTCACCATCAAATTGGTATTAAGTGATCAACACTTAAGTGCATATATAGTAATAACATTCAGCGGGTGTTGTGCAGATGGGAGGGGGGAAACAGGGGATGGTTATATACACACCTAATGGGTCTGGTTTGCACTTTGTGGGGGATTGACACACTTGAAGCTCTGACTCAGGTCTGGCAAGGGCATATGTGTTACCTAAACATTTGTACCCTCCTAATATGCTGACATAAAATAAATTTTAAAAATATAAAAAATAAATCAATGGTAAACACAAAAATATATATGGTTAGTTTCATTTCGTTAACTTGCTTTTAGTGAGGTGTGTCCTCGTGCGCATCAACACAACTATCCTATTATAGTTGATGCTAATTTTACTCAGTTGGTTATGGTTCTCTCTGACAGATTTTTCTCTGTATAGTTAATTATTTTTATCTGAATTATTAATAGGCACTTTGTGAAGATTTACCAACTGATATGCCTACACCATCACATTTAATTTGGAAGCTCCTTTTTCTTCTTAGATTCTTTTTGCATATAGCTTGTTTTGGAAAATAAAGGCTGTCATCTTCTTTTCCTGGTCTGATGAGCTGGGATAAATCCAGGACCTGCCATTCGTCATGGTTCAGGAGCTTTTACGTCACTGGGGAGAGTGTTAGAAATTCAGACCTCAACCCATATCTCCTGAATAAAAATCTGAATTTCAACAAGATGTCCAGTTCATTGTTGTCCACACTAAAGTTTGACAGGTACCACTTAACTCAGCATAATTTTTCCATCTGAAATATATATACAACTAGTCCTGTATGATGTAAATGTAGCACTAAAAAATATATTTTATACTGTATCTTCCAGAAAACTATAGTATATACAGTGGTTTTATGGATCTTATGTCATCCTGTTTCTTCAGAGTTACAGACATTAACATTAGAGAATGTTTCTGTGTTAAACATTATTGTTTCAAATAATAGCAGTCACTCATGTGTGAGAACCCGTTCTCTTTCTTGTTTCATTTATCCTGGAGTCCCATTAAGATCTTTTTCTATGGCCACTTCGTAAATATGTGTTTTTCTTCTAGGTACTGTTGACATTCAGGGATGTGATGATAGAATTTTCCCCGGAAGAGTGGGCATGCCTGAATGCTGCTCAGCAGAATTTATATAGGGATGTGATGTTAGAGAACTACAGAAACCTGTTCTCCCTGGGTGAGGATGAATTCAATAAACAATTTCTATTCCACACTAAGAATTTCATATCTTTACTTTGTAGAATGTTTTCTTGCTTTATATGAATGAGTTTCATAGTCTTGTTTCTGAGGAAAACTTGGGGATTTGTTACTATAGACAATCTTCAAGATGTTTTTTGTTGACATTAATCTTACCCTTTCTTGAGCTGATCTCTATCCTTCACTCTGGATTAGTGGTAATTTCAGAAATTTAGTGCCATAAAATATTATCCACACCTTAAAATCCCATTTTCACCATCAATTTCCCTTTTTTGAGACAGAGTCTCACTCTGTTGCCTGGGATAGAGTTCCTTGGTGTCAGTCTAGCTCATAGCAACCTCAAACTCCTGGGCTCAAGCAATCCTCCTGCCTCAGCCTCTCTAGTAGCTTGGACTACAGGCATATACCACTATGCCTGGCTACTTTTTTCTATATATTTTTAGTTGTCCAGCTAATTTCTTTGTATTATTAGTAGACACTGGATCTTGATCTTGCTTAGGCTGGTTTCAAATTCCTGAGCTCAAATGATTCTCCCTCAACCTCTCAGAGTGCTAGTTTTACATAGAGGCTTATATAGGATTACACTGAGCCTGGCTTCCACCATCAATTTTTAATTCACTAGGACTGAATAATATATCTAAGGACCCTTAAATTTTAAATACTTCATAAATATTCTAAAGTTTCTATCCGGAAATGACACTTTTTGATTAATTTTCTAAAATCTTCCATAACATTCTCTGTTTTCTACTGAGCACAGTACTACGTTGGTAATTGGAGAATTTAAGGAAGAATCATGTTACTTTTTTCTAATAAAACAGGTCTTGCTGCCTCTAAGCCAGATCTGATCATCTGTCTTGAGCAAAAACAAGAGCCTTGGAATATGAAGAGACATGAGGAAGTAACAGAACGCCCAGGTAAGTGGGAGTGAATGAAGCTGATGATGCAGGTGAGAGGTCCAAAGGTCAAAGAGGAATCCAGACCTTAAAATATGGTTTGGGAAGCTGCTCTAATAGAAAAAATTTCTGAGAAACCTAGGTTTCTTTCTCTCAGTCTCACATATGAGCATCTCTGTCTTTTGTTCTGAAATTGTCTAAGGATTTGACTTTCCCTTCAGTGATCTTCCTTTCAGGTTATAATGAAAACCAAATTCTTGTTCATAGCCTATAAAAGACTGCAGCATGTGACTTTTCTTCCATTGTATTTTTTGAGAAACTGTATGTTAAACTATTTCTTAATTCCACCTTTTGCATATCTGAAATGTGTGAGTGTAATGGTGATATTGGCATTTGGTTCAGAAATCCCAGGAACACTGTAAGCAGAGATTGTATGTTTCCTGCTTTATAGTTTCCTGTCGTATAGAAGTATTAAATGTGATTCTACAGATAATCACATGCAGTAATATCAGGATACTAAGTATCTCGCTAAATACAATAAAATATAATGCTATTTTACTTCAAAATTCTGTTTCTAGTGTGAAATGTGATTAATAATTTAAGCCCTGTATGCCCAAGTATTTCAACTTTAATATAGTTTAACATAGGTACCCCCTACATTTCTGAAATATACTATGCCATTGGGAAGCTTACCACATTATTGGGCATGTAAAATTTCCACTTTTTACTTTATTTTTTTATAACTACCATTTAATAATTTTGTCTTATGAAAGCTTATTATGAAGCTTATTGGGACTGTGTCATTCATATACGTGTGTGTATATATATATACACACACATGCACATGTGTGTGTGTGACTGTTAGCAGTTATATCTTGTTGTATACCCATTAACATTGATTTAATGTTATTTTTCTGGTTTTGTCTTCAAATTTCAAAGCATAATGAAAACTTTTCTGCACCATAATTATACAATACAGAATTTTACTTAAGTGTACTTACATAACTTTTACAGATATTTATTTTCATATAATTTTGTGTTGTTTTATAATATCTTTTTATTTTCAATGCAAGGGGCTCCCTTTGGCATTTCTTGTGGGACAGGTCCAGTGGAGATGAACTTTTTCAGCATCTAGTTATCTTCATAAGTCTTTATTTTTTAAATTTAGAAGGGAAGTTTTGCTGGATATAGTGTTTCTGCTTTGACGTTTCCATTCTTTTGGTACTTTTACTGCATCAGCCAACGTTTTTCTGGCAAGCAAGTTTTCTGTTGATAAATCCACAGTAATCTTATAGCATGTTAATAGGTGACACATCACTGTTACTGCTTTCAAGATTCTCATCTTATGTGTGACTTTCAAAACTTTGCTTATAGTCTGTCTTGTTATGAGTCCTGTAGTCTTTTTCCTAGTTGAAGTATGTTGAGCTTAATTTTTTGTCTTTATTTTTACATGTAAGTCATTTCTTATTGTATGATCAGCTAAACAATTCATGTTTTATTTTATGCTTTTATTTTTTTGTTGATATTCTCAATTTATAATTTTATTTAGTATTCAGTATTATTCCCATTTCTCTCAGTAAGCATCATTCAGATGGCTGATTTCTTATTATTTTGTTTATTTGATTGGCCTATGTTACCCTGATTTTTTTATATGTTTTAATCTGTGGTTGAGATTTGAGGATTAAAAAAGTCACCTTTCACACACTTTATCAAGTACGTTTTCCTAGGGGACTCTGACATGAATTATCTGTACTAAAGATACAAGGATCCTTAAATCTGTTCTGAGGGTGTTTCTTCTGTGAAATTTTGTGTTTATTTTCCTCTTAAAACAATTTTCCCACATTTCTTCTTAAGAGCCTGTCATCATTTGCTATACCTGTTTCTTGTCTGCTGCTATAAAAATCATTTACCTTTGGTTTCAGCACACCAAGTATGTCTTTCAAATGATAGCTACATTCTTTTCAGTACTCTGTTTTAGTTTGTCAAGGGCCCCCAAACACCAGAAAAATTACCACAGGTGTCATTATTTTCTTTGTTTGTTGAGGGAGAAGCTGGGAGTTGGAAATTTGCTTTTATAATATATGTACCATACTGTATGAAGGACAAAAGGCCATGGTGGGTAAATACAACAAACTTTTGTTTTTCTGCTATGTTCCTCTCAGCATTGTGCTCGCTGGGTATGCTACAAACTCTTACCTGGTTATTAGAATACCCACAAAGTCAATTTGGTTGGTATAATTTTGTTACATTAATTTACATAAAAGACAGACCCTGTATATTGTATTATGCTGCGTGACTAATGTGCTTGGTATGATTTTACATATTAAATTGATAATGTATATTCATCTCATTCAGAAAACAGATAAGTGGAATAATTTGTTATTTTTTAAATTTCTTTCAGCTATGTCTTCTCATTCCACCCAAGACCATCTTCCAGAGCAAGGCTTCAATGTTTCATTTCAAAACATGGGACTAAGAAGATATGGAAGTGATGACCTAGAAAATTTAAAATTAATGAATGATTGGAAAAGTGTTGCTAAGTGTAAGGAGCAGAGAGGATGTTACAATGGAAAGTGTTGCTTAAACCTTACTGTACATAAGAGAAATCATACTGGAGAGAAACTCTACAATTGTGAAGAATGTGGCAAAGCTTTTAAGTGGTGCTCACAACTTACTACACATAAGAGAAATCATACTGGAGAGAAACCCTACAGATGTGAAGACTGTGGCAAAGCTTTTAAGTGCTGCTCACAACTTACTGTACATAAGAGAAATCATAGTGGAGAGAAACCCTACAATTGTGAAGAATGTGGCAAAGCTTTTAAGTGGTACTCACAACTTACTGCACATAAGAGAAATCATACTGGAGAGAAACCCTACAAATGTGAAGACTGTGGCAAAACTTTTAAGTGCTGCTCACAACTTACTGTACATAAGAGAAATCACACTGGAGAGAAACCCTACAAATGTGGAGAATGTGGCAAAGCTTTTAAGTGGTGCTCACACCTTACTGCACATAAGAGAAATCATACTGGAGAGAAACCCTACAAATGTGAAGACTGTGGCAAAGCCTTTAAGTGGTGCTCACACCTTACTGCACATAAGAGAAATCATACTGGAGAGAAACCCTACAAATGTGAAGAATGTGGCAAAGCTTTTCAGTGGTGTTCATCCCTTTCTATACATAAGAGAATTCATATAGGAGAGAAACCCTATAAATGTGAAGAATGTGGCAAAGCTTTTAAGTGGTGCACATACCTTACTATACATAAGAGAATTCATACTGGAGAGAAACCCTACAGATGTGACAAATGTGGCAAAACATTTTTGTGGCACTCAAACCTTACTGCACATAAGGGAATTCATATTGGAGAGAAACCCTACCGATGTGAAGAATGTGGCAAAGCTTTTAAGTGTTGTTCACACCTTGCTGCACATAAGAGAAATCATACTGGAGAGAAACCCTACAATTGTGACGAATGTGGAAAAGTTTTTAACTGGTGCTCATCACTTGCTAGACATAAGAGAATTCATACTGGAGAGAAACCCTACAAATGTGAAGAATGTGGAAAGGCTTTTAACTGGCACTCAGACCTTTCTAAACATAAGAGAATTCATACTGGAGAGAAACCCTATAAATGTGAAGAATGTGGCAAAGCTTTTAAGTGCTGCTCACAACTTACTGCACATAAGAGAATTCATACTGGAGAGAAACCCTACAATTGTGAAGAATGTGGCAAAGCTTTTAACTGGGGCACAAACCTTACTAAACATAAGAGAGTTCATACTGGAGAGAAACCCTACAAATGTGGAGAATGTGGCAAAGCTTTTAAGTGCAGCTCACAACTTACTGCACATAAGAGAATTCATACTGGAGAGAAACCCTACAAATGTGACAAATGTGGCAAAGCTTTTAACTGGTCCACACACCTTACTAAACATAAGAGAATTCATACTAGAGAGAAACTCCACAAATGCGACAAAGTTTTTATGTGGCACTGACACCGTACCCCACATAAGGAAATTCATACTGGAGAGAAACCTGACGAATGTTACGAAACCATTATCCAGTACTCATGACTGTATATACATGAGAGAATACATAGAAGAGAAACCCTACACATGTGGATAATGTGGCAAAACCTTTATCTAATGCTCATAGCTTACTATATATGAGAGAATTTATACTCAAGCAAAATTCTACAATTGTAAAGGAAGTAGGAAAGCCTTTAATAACTGTTCACCTATTAGTAGACATCACAGAGTCATCCTGCATAATGGTATAAATGTACAAACTGTATATACCTTTTAGTAGATAAAAGGCTTAGAGTTCACCAGAGTATACTGAGATAAAATTTTACAACTATGAAGAGTAGCACAATACCTTTACTTCTACCACAGATCTTATTATTCCCAGGAGAATTTGTACTGCAATAAAACTTTCCATCACTTGCTCAAAATTTATTTAAGTTTACACAACTTGGGTTGGAGAATAACTCTGCAAATGTAATAAATGCAGAAAAACATTTTTTCAAAAAACACACGTTAGAAAACACCAGCATTTATACTAAAAGATATTTTACAGATGCCATAATGTAAAAAATAAAAAAGAGTCAAAAATCAAATCTAGATAAATAGCAGAGGATTACCAATATAAAGCACTTAGAAACTCATACTTTCAGATATTATCCTTAAAAGGAGAGTGTGATTATAGAGAACTACCCAAAATTAAAATAGTTACATAATTTATGTGTATATGTTTAAAAGGAGTAGAGTATTTTATAGTGAGTTATAATTACATCCAAAGCATACCTTTTGTATTAAAAATTTGATTATTTTGAAAACTGAATATTGATGTCATTCAACTCAAATTACTTGATGATTCATTCTCAGTGTTTTTTGTGAAAGCATGTGGTGAGTTGTTGCCAAATCAAAACTATGAAAGGTCCTTCTAAATTAGGTGGGCATTCATATACTCTTCCCAGGAATATTAAGGACACTGAAATGTAAGACACATGAAGAAATGTTTCCAGAGAGACTCTTTCTGATTCACTTTAGAGTTTTGTAGGTAATGTCACAGGTAGGTGTTCAGAATAATATTCTTCTGCATTATAGTTAGGAACATTTTGAATTTCAGAAGTAAAATATTTTTCTAATTGCATGTTAAGATAATAAGATGTAGTGGATTTTGAAATGTTTGTTTTAAAGAATATGCGTGTACTGAATTGGTTATAATAAAACAAAATTGCATTTAATGTGTTAAGAATTTTATGCATATAATTTATTGTTATCCTGCCACCAATCTTAACCTATTCCACCTTATTCAAAGTTGTAGGTAATATATGGTTACAATTGCAACAGGCTAATATAGTAGAATAACATCTTTAGTGGCTCTTATTCCAGTAGGCTTTAAACTTAAAAGAATTTGAAGAATATTTTCGTATATTATATTTTTATTCTTTATGCAGATAGTGTCATAATGGTGGTTGTAATGAAGATTAATGGGATATACTCAATCCATACATTCTCAATGAATGACTATTTATATAGCTTTATCCTACATTTTTCTTTCAACATATGACCTCTATGGCCTTTAAAACACATATTCACTTTTATTTACATGGAGTCAGATATACAAGCATATTCCTATAAACATAAGCTTTAATTGCAAGAGGATTATGGAGAAAGTTGTTGTGTTTATTTGAGTGTGTCCCTGTTTTGAGAAGAGGAGACATACATTGGAAGAAAACATAATCTGAAAATTGTTAATTTACTACCAAAGTAGAAACTTTTGTAAGTAATTATATTCTCTATGCTTTCTATTGAATTTATTTCTCTAAAATCTTATGATTCCTGGTTCAGAATTTCCTCATGAAATTCTTCTGGTTTTAATTGTCTCTTGTGCTAGATCCAACATGTAATTTTCTTACAAAGTTCATAAAATAATCTTTATTTGACCTGCTCAGAGATTAGAAGAATTATTTTTTATGAAATTTAATAGTGATCACAAAATAATTTAAAGATATAAGTAATTCCACAGTGAGTGTATTAAGTTAAATTGTGTTAATTTGTACAGTCCATTTTTTCTTCTCAGTTGAAGAATTTTTTTTGAGCTAATGTTTCTTTATTCTTTACCTTTTGAAAATTAACATAATTACCTTTTAAAACTTAACTAAGTTGGTTGAGTTTATTGGGCCAATTTGTTTAGGTAAAACTGGGGAGGTTATTTTGACACTTATAGAAAGTAGACAAGCACAAGTTAGCACTAGGTGTTCCATAAATAGAAGTAAGTATTATTGTTGAAGTTTATAAAAGATAGGCAATACCACATGTAGAAATTGCACTGATTCTTCATGTGGAATGAGGACACCTGTTCCCAGGCTATACCCTTGATTTTGTCTGAATTTAGAAATAGAAATTCTGCTTCTTTCATTTCCTAATTATTTCCAGTTCTTTGCTGTCTCTTTATGTTCATCTCCAGCTTCCCATGTACCTCAACCCTTCTGTACCTTTCCTATGTTATGGCTAACAGATTTCTTACAGTGCTCCCCACCACATGTCATTTCCCACAGTGCAATTTAGGTTTGGGTTTTTAAAAATGTGGTCAGAAATTATTTTTTTCTGGTGAGTTTGAAATCATTCTGATCACTTCATCGCAATAAGAAGGATGCACTGTCCGTGGTCCAAACAGTGTTAAATCAGGCAGTTAGCATGGTTTGTCATTATTTGTAAACAGAAAATGTTATCTGGTCCTGATCCAAAGTGTGGTAAATATTAAATTAGTTAGACTAATTACAGCATCAATAAAAGTAGGCTGGAAGCCGGGCGCGGTGGCTCACGCCTGTAATCCTACCACTCTGGGAGGCTGAGGTGGGCGGATTGCTCGAGGTCAGGAGTTTGAAACCAGCCTGAGCAAGAGCGAGACCCCGTCTCTACTATAAATAGAAATAAATTAATTGGCCAACTAATGTATATATAAAATTAGCCGGGCATGGTGGCGCATGCCTGTAGTCCCAGCTACTCGGGAGGCTGAGGCAGCAGGATTGCTTGAGCCCAGGAGTTTGAGGTTGCTGTGAGCCAGGCTGACGCCACGGCACTCACTCTAGCCTGGGCAACAAGCGAGACTCTGTCTCAAAAAAAAAAAAAAAAAAAAAAGGCTGGAACATGATAATGATGATAAATGATATGTAATGATACATAAATGATATGTAATGAAATCCGAACTTGGGAATTTCTTAAGATTAAACATCTTAGAAATAAAATTTTCAGGAGAGTTAAGAATAAGTGATAAATTTTAAATTTAGATTTTGTAACAAAATACTTATAGTACAACTTATGTTTCTATGCAGAATCTTCCATTTTTGAGTGTACATAGTAAGTGTTAGACAATAATAGAATGATATCTCTGGATTTAAAATCTGGAATAATTTTTCTTTTACAGATTGATATTACAATCTTGGGGAATTACTCATTATTTTATCTTTATTTTAACAGGAGTGGTTCACAGTCCACTGTTTTCATTCTTAGTCACCTAACTGTAGCCAAGTCCTTGTTCTTCCTTTCTAGAAAGATCTTGGCAGGTTTGGGATTCAAGCATTCCTCCAGTGATTTTGGATGCAGTCTTATTGTTTAGGTTCACAGAGTGGTCAGAGATTGAACTGTTAGTACCACCTGCCCCTTTTCTGTTTTCTATACCGTTGCCATTAGCAGCAGGAAATTCAGGTACCTTGTAATTAACATAAAAGTCCTAATGTACGTTGGCCACTGCCATGTTCTTTATGGGATCCTATATGTGCTGGTAAATATCAGAGTTCCTATACTGATGACTGAAAAATGGAATGACAAAAATATCACAAAATCTACATATTTTTGATGCAGATGAGTTATGTTTATGTCACAGTCACAGATACAGTATTTGGAATACTGCAGTCCTACCATGATATTTTTTTAATTTGTTCATTTAAATTTGGCAGATCAAATTGTGTTTATCATATAAAACATAATGTTAGAATAATATACATTGTCAAATACTTAATTCTAGCTAAGTAGTAAATGCATTAACTCATAGTTATCTAATTTTGGTGAGAACACTTAACATCAATTGTCCTAGCATCTTTCAAAGATATGTCATTAACTATAGTCACCAAGCTATACAATAGATCTCATGAACCTATTTCTTATACCTAACTGTACATTGTATTCTTTGACAGACAGATCCTCAAATGCCCCTCCCTCCTAAGAACCTCATCTTCTTTAATGAAATAAACTTATTTAGATTCCACAAATGACTGAGATCATGGAGTGTTTATATTTCTGTATGTGGCTCTTTTCAATTAATATAATGTCCTGCAGTTTCATCCATGTAATGGGAAGTGATAGAAATTTTTTATGGCTAAATAGTATTCCATTTTGTTTATAAACCATATTTCCTTTATCCATTAATTTAATGATGGATATTAGGGTTGATTCTATATCTTGGTTATTGTGGATAGTGCTGAAATAAACAAAACATGAGTGTGCAGGTGTCTCTTCAACATGCTGATTTTATTTTTTTTGGATACATAATAAGTGTGACTGCTGTATTATATGACAGTTTTATTTTTAACTTTTTGAGTAATCTCCATACTGTTTTACTTAATGCCTTTACTGATTTACAGTCACATCAAAGGCATGCAATTGTTCCCTTTTCTCTCCATCTTTTCCAACCTTTACTATTTTTTGTCTCATTAAAGTAGTCATTTTAACAAGAGTGAGTTGATAGAGTGGTTTAGATTTGTCTTTCTATGATGAATGTTGATGTGGAGCAATTTTTCTTATATTTGACCATATGTATCTCTTCTGCCATTTAAGAAATATCTATTTAGATCTTTTGCTCATTGTTAAATAGTTACTGTTTTTTGGGTTTTTTTGAGACAGAGTCTCACTCTGTTGCCTGGGCTAGAGTGCCATGGCATCAGCCTAGCTCACAGCAACCTCAAACTCCTGGGCTCAAGCAATCCTGCTGCCTCAGCCTCCCAAGTAGCTGAGACTACAAGCATGTGCCACCATGCCCGACGAATTTTTTCTATGTATATTAGTTGGCCAATTAATTT